AGATCTAAAGCATGCTTTCTTCTATGTGGGGGACGAGTATGAAATGCAACTCTATGTTGTTTTCCAGCCAAACAATCAACACAAGAGTTTAAAGGCATACCTGAAATGTCGGGGAGATAATCTTTCCTGGAAAGGATCTGCATGCCCTTTTGACTCATGTGGCCAAGCCTCTTATGCCACAAATCACCGGAGGCATCATCTGCTACATTGGCATCTCCGCTACATACTCTGGCCTGCATAACATAAAGTGAATTCTGCTTCTTACCTCGAGCCATAATCAAACTACCCTTGGAGAGTTTCCATCTTCCATCACAAAACTTGTTGGCATAACCTTCATCATCAAGCAGACCAACTGAAATCAAACTCAATCTGATATCTGGGACGTGCCTCACATCCCTGAGCACTAACCTGCAACCAGTGGAAGTCTCTAAACAAACATCACCCATACTGACGATCTTGGACGAACCATCATTTCCCATCCTCACATGGCCAAAATCACCACTAGTATAGGATGAGAAGTACTCCCTGTGTGAAGTAATATGATAAGATGCACCAGAATCAATCACCCAGGTGCAGTCATCACAGGCTACATTTAATAGTCCATGATCACCGATAACAAACAAATCATCATCATTAGATGCCAAGGCTGTAGTGTTCTTCTCTTCTGGCTTCTGCTCGGAATTCTCATTTTTATCTTTTCTCTACCTGGACATATCTCTCTTTTTCTTTCTGCAGAATCTCTCAGTGTGACCCGGCTTCTGACAATAATGGCAAATGAAATCTCTTTTTCTAGATTTGGATCTCCCCCTGGACTTGTCTCTATGGTGAGGATTTCTGCTCTTGCTTCTCCCCCTGCTAAATTCTGGTATCACATTTGCTTCGGCTTGGCTAGGGTAACCTGATTCTTTCCTCCTAGCCTCTTCATTCAAAAGACTAGCCTTGACCATCTCCATAGTCATCTTGCCATCCGGAGCAGAGTTGCTAAGTGAAACCACCAATGTATCCCAACTGTCGGGCAATGAGGAAAGCAACAACAAGGCTTGAAGTTCATCCTCCAACTTCATCTTCATTCTGGCTAGTTGGTTTACCACACCTTGAAACTCGTTCATGTGAACTACAATGCTATCACTGTCTTTGTATTGCAATTTAACAAGCTTCCTAATCAAAGAAGCTTTTCCCATAGCATTGTTCCTCTCGTACATGGATTCAAGTTTCTTCCACATCTCAAAAGCATTGGTTTCATTAGCAACATGTTGCAACACACTTAAAGAAACATATTGTCGGATTGATGCAATAGCTTTCCGGTTCAAGGTAGTCCAAGCTTTCTCATCAACACCTGTTGGACGTTCTTTATACAAAATTGGGTCAAGCAAATCTTTAGAGCATAAATAATCCTCAATACGAATTTTCCAAATTGAATAATTCGTAGAGT